CTGCAGAGCATCTGAATTCTAAAGAGCCAATACCATCAATCTGTTTAATACGTCTTGTGGCATTCAGTGTGACCACCAGCTGATACAAAACCCTGGACACGGACAGATCCAAAACCATGCTTGCATAATATCCAGCATAATATCCAGGACAATATCCAGCACAATATCCAGCACACCAGGGGCTTCTCAATCTGCATGAGCTTGCTGATTCTACAAACCCTCGTTAGTGCATGGGAGACAGTGGGTGGGCTTTGCTCTAATTTTCTAAGAATATCTCAGTAATGAAGCACAAATGGGACATTGCAAAACTGCTGTTCCATTTACAGGCTTGGGGTGAGGCCGTCTGTCATCCCTTACTTTGTGGTGATTTTTTGATGGAGTATCAATGATGAGACCATTCCGCTCCAACACCAACTTTTAGATATGGATAGACAGAGGCCAGACAGGCAGACAGGGCTCCACACAAAGGGGAAGATAGTGCATAATTCCTCTGCATCACATTGCTCATACATCTGTGTGTAGGCCCCTGTTCATTTCCCCTCACCTCTTGAATAAAACTCCCCGGATGAAATGTTCCTTGACGTGAATCGTAAATATGTTTGTTCCCTTCACTAACATGTACACAACACACAGAAAAAAAATGTTGGTGGCAACAGCTGCATCTTTTACAGTGTTCCTGGTGTCATTTCTTGCCCATCAAAGTTTTATTGGAGCCTTCCAAAATTTCAGTCAGTCCTGCTATCGTGCCAAAGTCATCAAGCTTAGCTTTGATTTCAGCAGCTGCTGTTTCAGCTAAAACCTCTACAGCTGCACTGAGCTGTCAGTTGCCCCAAAGGACAATTGCCTTTGGCTGCATCAACTCGGCACAGCACAGGGCTGTGCACTGCTAACAGCACGGGTTTTAAATGAGACTCCTAAGCCAAAGCTGTGCCAAAAGCTGAAGCCTCTTACCCTCATTATCCCGTCTATTTAAGCAGCACCCACATAGAAATACACGCAATAACCTGCTAACACGAACAAACCAAAACCAAGTAGTGACCAACAGTGAAGAACAGAAAGCTTCTTGGATCAGGATGATGCAGCTGAAATTACTTCATTTGGCATCAAAGGAGTAATGGGAGAAAAATTAGGTTTTTATACATAAAGGTGTAAAAGGTATACCTAGGATTTATAATTCTGTGAGAGGTTACTGGTGCCAGCTGTCGATCTGGGAGGTTACTGATGCCCAAACTGAGGGGGAGCACCACAGCTCCCCAGGAGGGCCAGCCCCAACCCAGACTTTGCCGTGGCTGCCATCCCCCTGAGCAGCCACCTGCCCAGCACCTCTGCAGGCAAGGCTAGCTTCTTGTGACTGAGAGAGGCTGTGAAGAGTGTCAAGGGATTATTTTGTTTCTATCTCTCTCAGTCACGAGCCTTACTGATGCTTGGAGTATGTTCCTACAAAACACACCACCATGCTCTAGGGGCAGGAGCCTTTCACTCCTCATGGTTAAAATCCAGGTAAAGAAGTCAAAAATTTCTCATTCTACAGAAAATGGACTTATTCTAAAATAATAAGAGAGCTTTTGGATAAGTTATAAAAGTTTGGATGAAAGATTGTTTTCTTGTCCTCCAGGCCATCGAGACATCTAACATAACCAGTAGTTGGTGACACTGGGAGTGTCTGACAATGGCTCTTTTTGGTTCCCATCAAAGACTTAATCTGAACATCCTTGGTCTCAGCAGGCATCAGAACCACACAGATATGCTGGTCTGAATGCTTTTTCTCATCATAAATCATCATGCATGAACTTCCAGCTTTGCAGAAATTACCTTACATGACCAAAAAATTTAGCTACACTCTCCTCCTTCCCTTTTCTGTTCTCTAATTTTGAATATGTATTTATAATGTTGCTTATTTAGAGTCTGAGAAATGTTATACTCAGTTTCTTTAATGGAAACAAGACAAGACTTACAGCTTCTCCAGTAGAAACAGAGGAAACACAAGTGCTCTTGGTCCTGCCAGCAAGAGAGTGGTGGCTGCAGAGAGAGGTCCTGAACGATGACTCATTTATGGATCCCCTCAGGAGGTCATTCTTCGATATTCGTATCAGGAACCTCAAGCAGGGAACAGCTTTGTGGATGGTTTTTCTGAGAGAAAATGTGAGGGGAAAAAAAAAAAAGAAAAAAAAAAAAAAGCCAAACCTGTCACACTGAAGACACGACTTTGAAATTCATGTGGTGAAAATGCTGTCTCTTTCCATCACCTCAACACAGCTTCTGGTTTGATTAAGGGGGTCTTAAAGATTGCATGCAAGCAGCATGGTAGCTGGTGCAAACAACCCAACAGGCTGAAAAGAAAATAACAGGTCGTTCTGGGCCTTGTGTCAAAACACACACAGAAGAGCTGCATAGGTGATAAGAATTGAAAATACCTTGAAAAGCATGATTGCATATGGTTTATTTAAAATGTTAACCCAGAAAATTTCAGGCTAGTTGGTACAAAGGTCTTCACTGTGCAAAGGCACAGCATGAGTGGAAACAAGGGAAGAGGAAGAGGGCCAGAAAAATCAGATGTTGTTAATTATTTGTATCACGACAGCTACTGTAAACTCCTATTGAAAATTAACACTGTACAAGCATTGAGAAGAAGGATGGTCTAGACCCCAAATCTCCCTTATCCATTAAATAATAATCTCAGTCATGATTGTGTGAGTCTATTTTTCCTGACCCCAACTGTGGCCTTGCATGGAGCAGGTGTCCAAGAGCCTCCCCTGGGCAATGCCAGCTGGCCTTTCTCCTCACAGGGCAATGCTAGTCAGAACTCTTCATTTTGTGTAACACCTCCCCAGCACTTCCCAATCCATTAGTTCAGCCCAACAGATGAAGCTAATGGGGACAAAAAATGAAATTAACAAGTCAAGAACTGAGGCAGCAACAAGGCATATGGCAAGGAACTGATGCAGGGGACCACAGATTGCTGAGGGATGTCAGTACATTGACTTTACACTGAGATGCAAGTCAAGCAGATGTATATTGTAAAATCTTTTGCTTCTATAGTTACCAAGTTTGTTGAATAACCAGGACATTTTAAATCATTATTTCTGTTCTCACAAAAGATCACTCATGTTAAAATTTCAGAGACATGATTCTGGCATCATGAAATGAGGTCACTTGCTTGCAATCAAAAAAAGAAACCCATCACCACCAAACCTCAATATCTGGCATCATCACCACTCTGAATAGTTCTGCATCTCTCCTCTGTAATTTCAAAGGCAAGTGAACTGCAGCTCTGTGTCTACTCTGGAGATGAGGACTGAAAAAGCCGCCTGCACCATCATTCCTGATCCTGCCACGATGCCTGTCGGTGACCAGGCAGGGCCCACTAAACTGCCTGGAGCAGAAGGCTGCTCACATGGAGCTGAGTAAAAAAAGATGGTTAATGTTGAGCACAAAATAACAAGTCCTGAGAAAGGGTTTACAGGACACAAGAAAATGTCAAGCCCCCAGAGATTTCCTTTCAGGCTGAAGACCTCAGTATGGTGCTGAAAAGCAGCTGCCAGCTTTTTTCCCCAGCTAAGCTGAACTACTTCCCTCTGACAAATTCAAGTTTGTGTAAAACACACCATCCCATTTATTAAATGGGATTTGGTGCAGAGGTCTCCTAATGATGGAGATTCAGGAAATAGATGTCTGATGGTGAATTTTCAAGGAAAACATATGAACATTTCTGAATGTCTTGAGGGACCAGAATTTCTATTTTACAAATATTTGGGAGGAGATTGAGGGATATTTTACTGTTTGGGATGAAAGTACAGATTTTGAAGGGAGTTTTAATATTGTATGTGTGAAATAAAAGGCATAAACTGAGGTACTTATTTAATGATATTCCTATAATCTGAAATAAGAGTCACCTAAAGTGACTATTATATCATAAGAGTAATATAGTAATTGCAAGCAACTTTAAAAAAAATACTGCAACTCAAAGTTATTTGTGATTATTCATTATTTATGATGTAGGAGTTTTGAACCAATATTTTTTGTGTAATTCTGCTTTGCTTGGGAGCCAGCTGGAAACACGGAGTTGCAGAATTTCCTGTTTGCTATGAAAGAATAATTCAAAACCTAAAACTTCCAAAACGTAAGGGAGTTTCTGCAATAACTCTAACACAGCAATTAGAGTTATTGTGGAACATAGAGACAACAACAAGATGTGAAAGCCTTCTTCCCCACAAAAGAGCATTTCACAAATTAAAACTCTGAGTACATTCCTCGCTTACATTAGTTTGCTCCTGTGAGTCCTGTTAAGGAGAGGTGTTATTCTCCTTTCTGCTGGTAGGGAATGAGTGGGCAGGGGTGGGTAAATGAGGAGGAATATAACAAACTCTCAAACCAGTTCTTAGAAGCCAAGTGCTAGCACAAACATCACTGTTACATTTTCAGCTACATTCACTATAATGTACTTTTTTTTTTCTCCATTGTTTAAGGTAAGGAAAGCCCAAAAAAGTCTCGTTTTTGTGGGGATTTTAAGATGCGCAGTGTCAGGAATTCTCAGTGCAAAAAAGCATCTTGTTTTGCTAGTGGATTGAGATGAATTTGAACACTTTTGATCCTGATTTCTGGATGCCTCTTTCTAGAAAGATTTGGAAAATAACTTAGATGTAATTTGGTTCAGTAGTTCCAATATAAAATGACAAATGATCTCTTGCTCAAACCCTTAACCCTTTGGCCTGAACAGACTGGCCCATTTATCTGTGCTTGAATAAATTACTTTCAAAGCATAATGAGAATAATTAGAAGATTTGGAAATTATCCAGAAACAATAACCTTAACATATATATTCATTATTCATTGTTTAAGCAAAATTGGTCCTGCCAACATATTTTTACCAACTGACTTATTAGTGTACTGTAGGGTTTTTTCAGTTTTGAAACTGCATTCTTGATTCATCACAAGGGACCCAACATTACTTCTTTTCCTGACTGGATTGCTCCCAAGTGCATGAAATGTCTTTGCAAATCCACAACAATTTCTCTTGTTGATATGTCTAGAAAGTGGGGAAAAAATAAAACAAGATAAAAACAAGATACTTATAAAGAAAATGTCTGAAAGCTTATTGTGGACTCCAGTATTTTTCTTAACAGTCTTAAGAGGCCAATGCTGACAGGAAAAAGACTGACTGAAGCAGTTCACTGTCACAGAGCCATAGGATGGTGTGGGTTGGAAGGGATCTCAAAGGAGCCTTAAACACCATCCAGTTCCAAGCCTGATGCCGTGGGGAGGGACACCTTCCACTAGACCAGATTGCTCAAAGCCCTATCCAACCTGGCCTTGAACACTTCCAGGGAAGCATCCACACCTTCTCTAGGCAACCTGTTCCTTGCAAAAATAATAAACTGAAGACAATAACTTTGGTTCAGAAACAAATAATGGGTACTAAACACATCAGCCAGCCATGCACATGTTCTCATTCAACTTCTGAAACCCATCAGAAACTAGGCATTCTCCTACTCTAAATTAAAATGCTCTGCTGACTTCAAAAAACTCAGATGGTTTTTGGAGGATGCAAAAAGGTGTTAGTTATGATAGCAGGCATTTTCAAACAAAATATGTCTCCAAAACTGAGAAGCAGGGATTTGACAGACTAGCCACTCAGTGGATAAGGAGTTGTCTGTGTGGTCACACTCGGAGCTGTGGTCAGTGGCTCAGTGTCCAGGTGGAGCTCAGTGAGAGCGGTGACCTCGGGGGTGGGTGCTGGGACCAGCCCTGTTTAATGCCACTGTCAGTGACAGGGACAGTGGGATTGGGAGCAACCTCAGCAGGTTGGTGATGACACCTCAGCAGGTTGGCTGCCACACTGAGGGGAGGGATGGCATCCAGAGTGACCTGGACAGGCTGGAGAGGAGAGCCCACAGGAACCTCTGGAAGTTCAACAAGGCCAAGGGCAAGGTGCTGTGTGTAGGCCAGGGCAATCCCAAGCCCAAACACAGGCTGGGCAGAGGATGGAGTGGGAGCAGCCCTGCCCAGAAGGACTTGGGGGTGCTGGTGGGTGAGAGGCTGGACTTGATCTGGTAATGTGCACTCACAGCCCAGAAAGCCAAACGTGTCCTGGATCATGTCCTGTATCCAAAGCAGCAGAGGGATTCTGCCCCTCTGCTCTGCTCTGCTGAGACCCCACCTGCAGGGCTGCACCAGCTCTGGGGGCTCCAATATGAGAAGGATATGGACCTCTTGGAGCATGTCCAGAGGAGGGCCACACAGATGATCAGAGGGCTGGAGCACCTCTCCTCTGCAGATGGGCTGAGGGAGTTGGGCTGCTCAGCCAGAAAAAGAGAAGGCTCTGGACAGGCCTTACAATACTTCCAGCTGTAAGGTAGTGCCTTTTACAGCACTACCTGAATGAGGGCTACAGGAAAGCTGAAGAAGTATTTTTCACAAGGGCATGTAGGGATAGGACAAGAGGGAATGGCTTTAAACTGAAAGAGGAAAGGTTTAGATTGGATATTAGGAAGAAATTTACTGTGATGCTGGTGAGGCACAGGAACAGGCTGCCCAAAGAAGCTGTGGATGTCCCATCCCTGGAAGTGTTCAAGGCCAGGTTGGATGGAGTTTTGCACAACCTGGTCTTGTGGAAGGTGTCCCTGCCCATGGTAGGTGGTGAGAACTTGATGATACTTAAAGTCCCTTCCAACCCAAAGCATTCTGTGATTCTACAGAATCACAGGGTGAAAGGTTTTCACGCTTTTGGGGCGTCTTTTGACCAGCCTTCTGAAAAACCTTTACTTTTCTTACAACCACACTGTCATGCATCAGACATCCTAAACAATGAACTCAATTTCAAGATCCCGAGTCTAAGTTGTCAGGCAATGGAATTTACCAGCTTTTCCACCTCTTGGGTGAAACAAGCCTCATACCAATGACTAACCCTGCCATCTAGTGGTATTTATACATTTATCACATTTACCACCATGCCATCCCTGTGTTTTCTCAGAACTTTAGACACAGCATAATTTTGTGGTAGCTACACCTTGAAAGGCTTGCAAAAAAATTCTACAGGTATGCTGGATAGCAGTTCTGTTAAAAGTATATCCCCTTGGTATAATAAAGTATTTTTTGCTGCCAGTGTCCCAAAATTTTTTTGTGAAAAAATGCTTCAGAAAACCAAACCTTAAACATTATGCATATAGAGCTGCTTAAATTGGTAAGGATGTGACTTTTTTTTTGAGCCTTGCTGGTTGGGATCTTTTCTCTAGAGAGTACTCTGTAGTGGCTGCCTCAGGTATGAGGAAAGGTGACATGAGCATCATCTTCTCCTCCTGTCAGTCATGGTGTCGCACAGCTCCACAGGGCAGAGCAGGGCTCTGAGGGAGAGGAAAGGTGAAGGGAGGGACTGTTCTCTTTTGGCCACTGCCCAGGCCATATCTGGAGCTGCCATGTACCAGCTGGGTGTGACCACTGGCAGCCCATCATGGCCTGGTCAGCACAGGAACATGGAACATGCAGTGCACAGGGTGAGGCTGAAGGAATGAGGGTAGTTTGTTCCGTGTAAAAGGTCCACATTTGCATGTACAGTTATACACATACCTATGCATTTACTGTACCTGTATCTTGGGTGAATTATTGCATATATGATGGGGTTGTAGATTGCAGAAGATTTGGCAATAACTGCTGGCACAGATTTGGCATATGGTGTTAGGATGTTACCTCGACTAAAACAAAGCAAAAACATTACACACAGCTGTGCCATGAATTACAGGGATAATACATTACTAAAACATATTATTCTTTTACATTGGTTTTGTGCTATTATCTTTTTATAAGAAATACACCTGTAAAGTTGATTAATTGAAGTGATTTCTTTGCTCAGAGGAAAGGTTTGAATTTGACAATATGTACTTGGTTTCATTCATTTAGAGAAGATCAAAGACATGCAGCAAGTAATTTTAAGGTGGCTAGGAACACAAAGAATCCTTCCCTGTTTCTGCAATAGACAAAAAAAACCCCAAAAACAAAACACCAGAACTCCAAAAGAACCCCCTTTGTGGCCATCTGGGAAAAGTGAATTATGATAGAAATCAATGATGATGACAGAAATCAAACCTAAAAAGTCTCTCAGCAGCAGCATGTGTGCTGCACAGTAATGTGTGTCAGTGCCTCAGTTCTGAACACTGCAGAAGGAGGAGAGGACTGGAAGTGGTTTAAAACCAATATTTTCCATTAGGCATTAAGCTCCCACAGTCATTCAGGTGTGACTGTCAGTCAATGTCAGTGCAGCATAAGCTCAGTTAATATCATGGTATCGCAGAATGGTTTGGGTTGGAAGACACCTCAAAGATCATCTAGCCAACCTCTCTGCCATGGGCAAGGACATCTTTCACTAGATGAGCTTGCTCAAGGCCCCATCCAACCTGGCCTTGAAGAGTAGAACATGCATTGTTGTGAACAATGGGAGGAGGAGACAGCAGTGTACGGAAGGAAGAAGGGTATTAGGAGATAAAGGAGGGAACTCCTCCAATTTATACAAAGAAAGCATCATGTGGGAGAGAAAACATTCTGTACCAAATATTAAGACTAAAAAGTCATAATAGTTTCAAAATGCATAGACAAATAAGCCCTTTTCTGCTTTATTTACAAGGATATAGTGAAGAATGAATATCACCTCTAATGTAGTAATTATTTAAGGCCCATTCAAAAAAAAGATTTACCTCATATGGATGATAGTACAATCTTATTTGCTTAACTCCTGCTGCTTGGATTCGTCTTCCACTTACCCTGCCCAGGCAATCAAGGTGACACAAGCATATGGAGACCAGGACAAGACAAACACAATGATGACCACAAAAGCAATTTTTGCCAGCTTCCACTCATTCTTAATGGACTGAGAGAGGTAGGATTTCCGGCTGCAGGACCCCAGCTTTTGAACATCTCTGTAAGAGGGGAAAAACACAGATATTTCAGAAGGACAACGACAAGCAATACCTCTAACATGTTCTCAGCAATATGTAAAATGAAGTAAATTTCTTATTTCTCCACTCTAACTGTTCTTTTCTCCTCTGATATTTAAAAACTCTGGAAAGTAGTTAATGTGGTTACAAGTGTTATGTCTGCCTGTGAGACTGAACCAGAATCCCTGGGACTACAGGACAGGACTGCTGTGTCCTCATCCCTAAGACAAGGAGGGTTTCAGGTTGCAAAGATACAGAAATTGGTATTTCTTGCCCTCCATTGCTTTTAGAGATGGAGCAAGAAAAGGCACAGTTGGATGGCAAAATCAAGTCTTATGTCTTTTCCTTTTCAAGGGAGTAGCAGCTTAAAGAAATTCCAATTCAGGAGGTAACACATGCTGGAATATCCTGACAGCTTTGAGAAACCTGTTCCAAACACTTGCAAGGACATTTTTACTTACCTGCAGATTTATTTATTAAAGAGTATTTTCAGTGGGAGGTACAACAGGCAGTCCTAATATTTTTGTAATGAAAAATCAAAATCTCTTCTCACACCATACACCTCATATTTTATTTTAAAAACTTTTATATAGTTAGGCATTTTATATTCTTTAGCATAGAAATAACAAATTTTACATATTAGTGTTGCTAAATGGAGCTAAATTTCAGGCTGAAGACATTAACTACCAGCCAGGAGGGTCACAAAGTCTCTACTGGTGCACTGTAAATATAGAACGGAATCAAAGAAACATAGAATGGCCTGGGTTGGAAGGGAACCTAAAAATCATCTAGTTCCAACATGCCTGCCATGACCAGGGACACCTTCAGCTAGACCAGGGTGCTCAAAACTCCATCCAGCCTGGCCTTGCAAAAGGCACAGAAAAAGTTTATCCACTGTGCTCCACGGGTGTACAAGGACATATTTTAAGGATGCATTTCTTCTCTTGCTATCAAGTATACATACACAAAGCACAATAAAAACCAAGACAGTGGCAAAATAATAGTGTTCAGAAAGAACTTCATTTTAGGTGTATATAAATGTACTTTTAAAGGTGGAATTTAGGCTTTTGAAGCCTAATGATGTCAACAAGTGCCTGCACACAGGAGCAGAGAAAAGCCATCAGAACTGATGACACAGTTGAGCAGCAGGAAGGACTCGCACCACCAGCTGGTGTTGGATCGGACCAAAACCATGTGCTCGTTAGCAGAAAAATAACGCATAGAATGATGTTAGTTTACAGATCTAACACCCTGCTGATTTTCATTTCAAATACAGGCCAAAAAATTTTTGGGGAAAAACATATGAGCAAGCATAGCCAAATATTGTGCATGTAGTTGTGATGCTTGAGCGAAGCATGATGGTTTTTGGGATGCTTGCCTTAAATAAAACTGTCAAAAAATATGAGGACTGCTTTGTTTACAGAGCTGCTCAAAGGCAGATGATTCCCCCATTGCTACATGTTTTTTATTATCCCTTGAGGCTGAAAACTGCTGGAATACACAAGGACATTGTTTCTTGTAGTACAAATCTGAAATACTAATAACTCAATCCAAGTATCTGACATACTATTAATTACTACAGTGGAATAAGATTAGAACCACCAGAGACAACTTCTACTCTGAAATTCATACATCCATTCCAGTTTGAAATTGGCAAAAAATAGTTCTCCTGTTACAGCTGTCAGTTTCAATTCAGACTAATTTTTGATGCAGATTTTTCTGCAGCTAAAGAAACTGAGAAAATATTCTGTTACACAAAAAGGGATATGGACTTCTTTCAGCTAGATTGCTTACCTGCCAGTACGCCTTATGGCCAGGAACATCGATAAATAGCAGTAGAATATTATTACCAGGGGGATAAAAAACACGCAGCAGCACAAAATCATGGTGTAGCTTCTGTTTGCAGGGGAGTAGGTTACATAGTCCCATGTGCAGGATATCATCAAGCCCTCAGGCACATAGGAACCTATGGAATACATGGAACACGTTATTCACACATGCACCCAAAGTTAGGGCAGGTGCTGATCCAGCCACTAAACACCTAAAATAAACTCTATCCTGTATCCATGGTCTTCAAGAGCTGTGTCAGCCAAACTACTCATCATACATGTGGTCTGTGAAGTGAGTGCCCATGTGGAGAGGAGGTCCTGACTACAGAACTCTCAGGAACACACCTAATACTCCATCTGTTGGTTGATGTGTTGCTTTAACACACGCTGGGTGTAAGGGGGCAGAGAGTTTGTGCAGTGCAGTCGGTGCAGATGTGTGCTACAACAACAAACCATCGCGTGGTGGCAGGGCATCCTCAGGAGCACTGATAAGAAAACTCTGTTTTACATCCCAAGGAAGACTAAAAAGAGTACACAGGGAATGCTAGGAGAGAGAGAGCAGACAACATACTCCAGCCGAGGAGCGGAGCCACGCTCCATCCCAGTGAGTAGAGCCACACGGCGGCGATGATCTGCATGGTGCGTCTCTTGGAAGTCCACTGGATGGACTGCAGGGGCTTTGTGATCACCAGGTAGCGGTCAACAGAGATGGCCAACAGAGTCATCATCGAGGTTATCCCAAAGAGAGCCCCACAGAAAGCATACAAGTTACAGCCTGGAGAAGGAAATGGCAACGTCAGGGGCTTTCTTGAAAAGAGGCATGCTTTCTCTCGGAGCTCATCGTAATAAATCCCCCTGGTTTTTTCCTTGCTGAGGTCTTCTCTCTCAATAGAAGTACTTTCTTAGCTTCACGTTTTCATAGTTATTAAGTGCTTATTAGAAAAGCATAAATATAAATAAAATACAAATATATGTATTTAAACGAGTCCTACTTCACTGCAACTGGGAGTGTTTTGTCAATGGAAAACTGCCTCAAAGAAAATCCAATCTAATTAAAGTTATATTTTCCTGGACTGCTGCCCAATAAATTGATCTTAACATGCTGCAGCAGACATCTGTCTGTTAATGATGGATAGGTGGTTCAAGAAATGACTTTGGTTTATGTGGCTTAAAAATGCAGAAATGGTTTAGATTTGGTGACTAAGAGACCAACTGTAAAACATAGCTCCAACTCCTATATTTAATGGCAGTACTTTTTAAAAGAACTGACATTTTTTACATGAAACAGACCTCTTAACCCCCTCTGCATTCAGGCAGAGCAGTACCAGATGGAAAAAGTTACACTGAATTTAATGGAGCAACCTGTGTGGAAAGATCATCCATTTTTCGAAATCTTGCATTGCCCCACGAGGTTATAGACAAGAGCCCACCAGGAATGACAGGCAGCAAAAACACCAGATCCATCCTTAATGCAGAATTCTAAAGTCTATACAAGTAACTTGCAACCAAGGACCAAATCCTACTCGACCCAGATCAAATTCTTCATTTGTGACAGCATGGTAATTTGCACTGATTTTATCTAAGGGGATAAGTAAGATTAAAAATATCTTCAAACTAAGGCAGAGTCCCTTCTGTGCTGCTGAACAGTACACGGTCTCTGGGCTTGCTCCACCATTGCACAGCCACCAGTGGGTGCAAGTTTTCATCCATATGATGAGGAGCACCAACCATCATTGAGCCTTCTGAGGTTCTTGCTATACTCACATTTCAGCCTTAATTTCAGCATAGATCTTTTCTTTCTTGCAGTTGGAAAGAAAGAGGCTTGAACTTGCTGAATCCTCAAACTCATTATTGTTATTTAAATCTTTTAATTAAATATGAGATTCCTAGAAGTGTGCCAATGTATATCAACATACATTTCTAAATAAAAGTATTAACTAACAGAAAAAACTATTTACAACTTACTGAAACTTTTCTACCTATTTTCAGCCATAACACCTCCCTTACAAGCTAAAGGGTGACGATTACATGTGGATCTTGACTCCTTCCTTTCCAAAATATGTAAGATAAAAGAATCACAGCTGTAATACATAACATGTGACACCACACTGACTGATGATGTCTGGGGCTGTGACTCAATAGACTTGTGCTGCTCTAGCCATGTCACAAGCCAAGGCTGCTGTGGCTGAAACAGCGTGCAGGCAGCGTAAAGCTGGCAAGGTGTGAATTAGTGGTGAAAAGTACCTATGTCTCCAAGTATCCATTCTCTGTGCAAGCTGTTGACAAAGCATATGGGTGCCTGAGAAGCCGACATCAGGAAGTCACTCACAGCTAAATTCATTATAAAGTAGTTTTGGGAAGTCCTCAGCTTCTTGTTGCTTAAAAACATGAGAAATACATAGTTTTAAAAAGACAAAGTGGAAAGTTAACTTTATAACTTTGCTTCCTAGCATAAATTAATACTGTCCAGGTTGAAATCGATGGTTACTCACAGTGAATGAATTGCTAATCATCAGTCAATTACCGCAGCTACAGCTGCAGTCATTTCAAAATGATTGAAAAGACCAGGAGCCATAAAATAGATTGTTTCCTCTTCAAGCTAAGGAGAGTTTCAGCTGTCTTGATAAATATGGATTTGTTCAGAGGAGCAGTTCCCTAGGAGTGCTGTGATATTGATTGTGCCTTGCACTGCACATGAGGAAGATCTGAAGAAAGTTACAGAGCCAAAGGATCAGCTTCTGGTGATACTTTAAAAACTGCTGACCCGAGGTGATGTGTTGACACAGTTGGCCTGAAGTGGTTGACACACCACTAGCTAAGTGACCTTTTGCAAAGTGCTACAGCATAAGCAGAGCCCACACAGAGATTTGGAGAAAGTGCTTTTGCTTATATACATATCATAACAGAGAATGAAACCTAGCAGTTGCAGATGAGCAGGCAACATTAAACACCACAACAAGGAGTGTGAAAGCAGAGGTCTGCAAGCAAAGCTTATCCAAGGAAAACAACTGAGACATTTCTGATGTGCTTTGCAATATCAATATTTGCAGCTAACATGAATTTCTTTCCTCATGCTGATACATACTGAAAAAGAAAGTGAGAAAGAACATCTCAGTGCTGCTGCAATTCTAATAAATCCTTGGTTCTCATAACTGTCAGCAAAAACAAGGTAAGAGAGAGTGCAGAGTTCATACATTCCCAGGTGCTAATCTGCCCATGCAGATATTCCTACTTTGACAATGTAATGCTTTTATTACACCAGCTAAACCACACACATTTCAAGACAAATACAGAGCTTGTATTTAATTTTAAAAAGTCACAAAGATATCTACAGTTGTGGAGAATTAATTTTCTCTAAATCATATTAGAAGTTGATTATTCAAAATAACCAATTTATTTGTCTTAACCATTTAAGAATAGGAAACTAATGCCTGGTTCATAAGCCCACTCTAGCATTGTAAGGCCTTGCTGCATCAGCATGCATAATGACAGCAAGTAGTGAATGCAGAGGATTTTGAAATCCATTGTCACATTGTGGGACAGAGGGCAGATGTTTCTTTTTTCCATGAGATTTTTTGCATACTCTCGCTGCAGTAGCTTTGGCTGCCTATTACTCTGCCAAGAGAGCACAAAAACTGACAGAAATCCTATGATCTGCCTGAAGCAGGAAATACCCTGGTGGCATGAGCTCATTTCATGTAGCAGATTGCCTTCTTGGTCCTTTCAGGACCACTGGGCTCCTGGGAAGTGTGTCACTGTTTGTCAAACATTTGTGCAAATGCTACAGGGTAAGTGAAGAAGTCTGCAGCTGCAAGACTGTGGTTTCTATCATTAGAAGTGTTAAACCATTCTTTAAACTTTCAATTGGAAATTGTTTATAGAACAAGGTATTATTTTCTCATTTTGGTTCTTTAAATCATCAGGAATTTACACTGAGGTTGTCAATGATGCACATGGATGTGTTTTCATCCGTGTAGGGTTGCCTTCTCCTCTCTTTCCCCCCACATTTGTTGCCATTAGATTTAATCCAAGTGGAAAGCAGTGCAGAGATCTGCACATGGGCACAGGTGAAACTTAAATCAACCACAAAAGGAATTTTTGTACCTGTAAAATGCATAGAGGACTAGGAGGTTTCCGATGATGCCAATGGAGCCAATAATGAGCACACACGTTCCTACGGTGTAAAGAACATGGCTAGGGATCTCTGCCTTGGTCAAAGTATGTGCCTGGGTACTCATGTTCAAACCCTGAATGGAAAACAGAGGAAAAGGAAAGGTTAGCCCATTTGGGACCCTCAGTCCATGGAACACATTCTCAGGCTGTTGGCATTCACTTCCACAGCTCGTGCAAATGAAATACACGCTTCTGAGTTCTTTCCACATCCCCTGCAATCAAGTTTCCCTCAGGTAACTTTCATAATTTTGACAGTAGATATTTATCTTAAGAAAAGAGCAACAGAGAAAGCAGACTGGAAAAGACAACTAAGGAAGTTATGATGGTGATGTGAAAAAGGCAAAGAAACATGAGCATAAAACTCGTTCTGGGTAACTGCTGCACTCTGGGGCACAGAGCTGGCTGACAACACAGACTGACAGCAAGAAATAATTGTCACAGTTTGGTTTTTTCAGGAACAATGATATCAAATTCCACACTTACAAACATTAAATCCCCTGGGTTTCCCCAGGTTCACTGTACACTAACTCGGTGCTACAAAACCTGGGAATTCTCCATGCAAAAGAGAGGAGATGAGAGGTATAATAGCAGCACTAGCACTGCCTGTGTAAGAAAACATACATTAAATAGTCTTGACACCTCTTTCACTGCCTTGTATCTTCAGCACATGAATAGCTTCCCTCTGTAATTTTTTTTTAAAATCAAATTCAGATTTATCACTGGCTACATTCAGCAGCAAGGCAGCCTACAGCTAATTCACTCAGTTCACATTAGCATTAGCAATGAGAAGAATCCAAATTGACTTGTGGAGATTCTTATTTAAAAAGTCACAAGCAGCTATGCCTCACACTCACAATCAGACCTGGAGAGCTGAGTCAAAGGTGTGACACCTTCCCACAGCTGGGCACCTGCATCACTTCATCCCTTCTCCACTGCACAGCTCAGCAATGTGTGGAGTGTGTGATAAGGCCGATTTTGACCTGTGAGAGAGGAGCTGGATGACAGAACAGGTTAATATAACTGTGTGATGATAACCACTTGTAGTATTTAAGCAGCCATTTTAAAAATGATGAGCACACCCTTTCTTTCCTGTAGCTGCCTCCTAATCTCCTATACTGCTGGTTCTCCTTTCTGCCTTGTATTCCTCACTCATCTGTGAAGTGCACACAGTACAGCTCCCTCCCTGTACAACAGTCCTAGCTGAGGGCATTATCCCTCCAGCTCTGCAACCCTCCTGGGGCATGCCCTGGGGAGGCTGCATTTGGCAATAGGGAGGGCATGGTGAAGTGCACTGCATACCCTGGGCATCCACACAGCAGCAGGTCTGGGGCAGAAATGCTGACAGCAAAGCTCCCCGGACTGAAGTGATGTAGTAAAAAGTACAAAAGCTATGGCTTCAAAGCAGGAAGGTGCTTTCAAGCCTTCTCAGTCATCTGACAGACGCTACCCTTGACAGGATGGCTACTGCCTATATGGCACTTCACCACACAGAGATCACATCACTGAAAAAGTAGGAAGAAATGGAAGAGAGCATCTGCTGGTGCTGGTTGCACCAGGGGGGCATGACTGCTATTTCCAGTGCTTAGGCAGCAACAAAAAATGCCACCATGTGTAGGATTTACCCTTGAGAAAGGTGTGAGAGGTCGTGCAAGAGCAGGCAGAGCACGGTGAGGTGTCCCAGCAAAGAAAGTAGTCACGGCTGTTTGGTGGCACCAGGCAGAGCCAGCACTGTGCTCTCAGAGCAGGGCTGCCTGGGCATGCAAGTTAAGCATGGTAATGCCTCTTCTTCTCTCTCAAACCCAATAATCTCTGCAGTGTGTGTGCACTGAATTGTAACCCTGCCACATTTCTGGCAATGCATGCCAAAGAAGCTAAACTGGGGAGAAAGGAAAAGGCTCCATTTTTTCCTTCCTTTCCAGCTTATCTGTTATGCATGCCAAGGATTTGCTTCTACCTAGAGGTTTATTATATAGAGGGCTATTAAATAAATGTAATTCAGGGCAAGCAGTACTTGCCTGTCATATGATTTATGTTTTACTTCAACATATGGGAATTCACTGTTACAGAAATTCATTTGAGAAATGGACTATGAATTTCACACCCAAAGGTGTCTCACCTTATCTCTGTGCTGAAGAGAAGCTGACTTGAACATTTTGGCCTCATTTACTCATTTGTGGGTGTTGAGCTGTGTCAGAAGCTGAAAAATATCTCACATGACACATTTGTTAACTCAGCTTACAGTTTGCTGGCAATACTGGATGAAATATAAACTATTGATGCTTTCAGAGTGGAATCTGGAAAGCAATAAATAGCAGGGATTACACAGAGCCTTCCTTCTCAGTGAGAAGTTAAAGTGAGGGATGTTTAGATTACACAGGCTTTGGATCTTGCCTCCAGGGGAGTCCATGAAATACCATGGCCACTTCTGCTCCAATGTTAACAGCAGTCAGATAACTTTCAGATCTGAATGGAAAGACAGCTACTCATTCCCTCTGCTGGTGTTACCCTGAGAGAGCAGGATGTGGCAGGCATCCAAGCTGAATGAAATGGGGCAAGCTGACAAAGACTGAGAGCCATTTGTAACACTGTCCTTTGAGTCTGAGAGGAAAAATGTGCGAATCTATGTGTGTGTGTGTGTAGATACATTTCAACAGAAAACCTCAACTTGGATGAAAAATAATTTCACTAAACTGGTGGAAAATTTCTAAATAATACAGGCTAAACCAGTACAAATAGATGTAGGCTAATCAAGGAGAATATATACCTCATTTTACTCACATAATGTATTTCACCAATTTGGCATATTTTCACAATAGAAAAATTTAAATTTAAAGATTCAAATACTCTTAAGGTTAAGAATTAAAAATCCACTATGGTGAACAAATGCTGCTTTTCTAATACAGACCCATCTTCCATACAGCATAACCTCCAGCTGGAGGCAAGTAGCACTATGACTAAGGTTTAAGGATATTAATTAAATTTAGGCTTTTTCTCTTTTCTTACAGTGTCAACTCTGAGAAACTGGCCTTTTAGCAGTTTTAATTAACAAGATGAATATTTGTTAATGTAAATATTTTACCATATAAAGATGAGAGCTAGAAATATAAAAAAGAAATTACAAGCTTAGGGATGAGCTTTAAGAAGAAGTTGGTTTTTGCATATCTTCTCAAAAGCTGTTACTACTCTATGCATTTCTTTTTTGTACTTTTAGTTTTCAACAACTAGTAAAAATAAAATGAAATTTTAGGAGAATATCCCAGGCTACTATATGTGTTTTAACCCAAGAAAACTCAAATACCTATTACAAATCTTTCCAGATAACTTGGTAAGCAGGATGGCAGCTACACACAGCGGTTGCATTCACTACAGACACTGATTGATGAGTCTTACTGTGTTATGTCCATATTGGCCTCTCTTAGCACAAAAATTATGTATCAAATGGTCAATGACAGCTGCCATGAATCAGCAAAAAATTAGTTTGTACTGTCAGGAAAGTTCTGCCTTTTAGGCTTGGTAAAGCACAGATTTTGTATCGATCTCATGTCACCAAGATATACTGTGCAATACTTTGACTTTAGCCTGATCACTTCTATTTTATTAACTCCAAATTTAGACCTCTTTGAGAATGCAACTGAAAAAAAAACTTTAAAAAATTAAAAGATGTGTTGGGAGAAGTTCTCTTTCAGCTGTTTCACACTGTTATGGTGATGTACAGCCGACCTGGGTTCAGCACACCTATTTCAACTGTATTTATGGATGCTCAGTATCATCACAGCCTTGCAATGTAGAGTGAAAAGCCTGTTCTGTATAAGACTTAGTCTTGCTCCTTCTCTTTAAGGATGTGATTTACATAATGACTATTATGTTAATTATTCCATTAACATTCAATTTGACTGAATTAATATACTGAATATTTAATGGGTGAACCAAGTTTTCAAGTGCTTACTTGAAATGAGTTCACTGGTCCATTTATGCCCCAGACTCGCTTTACCTCCCTCCATATTTTGGTCATGGAACAGGATCCTGAGCACTCTGCTGAAGACACATCCATTTCCTGAGTGAGGATTTCAAAGGCACCATCCAGAATGACCTGATTGTTTAGGCCAAGAATCCAAATGTAAACAAGCAGCCCATGAAGATGCCAGCAATTGCACCAGGGCCAGCTTCTGGCATACTTGCCAAGCCTGTGCTCGCTCTGTTTGACTCCTTCTGATTTAATGCTACAATATTTTGTATTTTGACTCTATGAGCTGTTGGAGGACCTGACAACTCACATAAATTATGATGTGGCCTGACCCTTATATATGGAGTGACTACAACATCAAAACACTGTCACCTACGTGGCTGCTTGGAGGGCTTTCCTGGTAGTGTAGCTAACAGGTCTTCAGGTAAATGGACAGTGAACAATTAACAGTTGTCCCTCAACTATCTGGCAAAAGAAGCAGGCACCAGATAGAAAAATAAACTTTCTCCCATATTTCTCCCAAAATAAAGATGCAAAACATGAAACAGATGAGGAAAGTCATTCTAGGAAAGCTTTTGTAATTTGATTTTTAGTGATAAAATGATGGCTAAATAATTACAGCTGTCTGTTTCTGCTTTTCAGATGCTAAGATGAATAAAGAAGACAAGACTAATTATACGCAGATGAAAAAAAATTGTTGTTAAAAAAGAAGGGCATGAGCAGGTCCCCCTGAATGGGTAGGAGTAGAAAATTGACTGAAATGTTTGTATGATTGGCATTAGGTGGATGTAAGATTATCCAAAGCTTTATTCACCCTCTGGTTTTGCTCATGGGTGCAAGCTCATCTTGTGGAAATGATTTACACTGAAATGAGCTTAAGGAAGGGCTTGCTTACATGAGGGATTAATGTGCACTAACAAGGGAATAAATTAACAACGTAGCAGCCTCCCTGTGTTGAACTGCTCCGTGGATTCACAACACAGAAGTTTGATTTGCTCTTCAAAATCTTGTCTATGCTGTTAGACCTGAAAATTTTAAAGAAAAATACTAAACAATGTAAGGTATGTTAGCTGAGATGGGAGAAATCTGAGCGTGCTAGCTAGCAGATAG